GTTATTTTCTGTTTTTTTTTTTTTAATAGTAGCCATCCCATAGGACTGGGGTGATATCATTGTGTTTTGATATGCATTCCTCTGATGATTGGTGACATCGAGCATCTTTTCATATGCTTCTTGGACAGTTGTATATCATCTTTGGAGAAATGTCTATTTCAGTCTTTCACCCATCTTTTAATCTCATGATTTAGTTTTTTGTTGTTGAATTGTACAAGTTCTTTATATTTTGGATATTACACTTTATCAGGTATATGATTTACAAATATATTCTACCAGTCCATAGGTTGCCTTTTCATACTGTTAATTGAGATCTTTGATGAAAAAGGTTTTCCAATTTGATTCAGTTCCATTTTTCTATTTTTGTTTTTTTTACCTGTGCTTTTGGTCTCATATCCAAAAAAATTATTTCCAAGTCTAGTGTCATTAAATTTTTCTCCTATGTTTTATTCTAGGTGTTTTATAGTATTGGGTTTTATGTTTAGGACTTTAATCCACTTTGAGTCAATTTTTGCATTGACAAATATAAAAAATTTGACTCAAAGTGGATTAAAGTCCTAAACATAAAACCCAAATATGGTGTAAGATAAGGTTCCCACTCTACCCTTTTACATGTGAATACCCTAGCACCATTTTTTGGAGACTATCTCTTCCCCCAATTGAGGAGAAAGTCTTTTGCATCCTTGAGGATTATTTCACCATATACATGAGAGTTTATTTCTGGTCTCTCTATTCCATTCCATTGGTCTATATGTCTGTCTTTATGCCAGTACCACATTGTTTTGATTACTGTATTTTTCTAATATGTTTTGAAATCAGGAAGTGTGAATCTTTCAACTTTGTTCTTCTTTTTCAAAACTGTTTTGGCTCTTCAGGCTTTCTTGAGATTCAGTGTGAATTTTAGGATGGATTTTTCTACTTCTGCAAAATATCCCAATGGGATTTTGATAGGAATCGTATTGAACCTGTAGATTGCATTGAGTAGTATGGATATATTAACAATATTAAGTCTTCTAATCCATGAACACAGGATATCTCTCCATTTATTTATGTCTTAATTTCTTTAAGCAACATTTTGCAGTTTTCAGTGTAAAAGGCTTGCATCTCCTTGGTTAGGTTTATTCCTACGTATTTTGATCTTTTTGGTACTGTTGTAAATGAAATTGTTTCTTAATTTCCTTTTCAGATTGTTCATCGTTAGTGTGTAGAAATACAACTTATTTTTGCTTGTTGATTTTGTATCCTAAAATTATGCACAATCCCTTTATTAGTTTTAACAGTTCTTTGTGGAGTATTTCGGGTTTTCTATATATAAGATCATGTTTTCTGTGACGAAAAATAATTTTACTTCTTCCTTTTCCATTTGGATTTTTTTTTCAATTTTTTTATCATGTAATTACTCTGGCTAGATTTTCTAAAACTGTGTTGGGTAATAGTGGTAAGAGTAAGTCTCATTGTCTTGTATCTGATATTAGAGGAAAAGCTTTAATCATACCAATAAGTATGACCTTAGTGTGGGTTTTTCCTATGTGGCCTTTATTATGTTGAAGCATTTTCTTTCATTCCTAGTTTGTCGAGTGTTTTTATCATGAAAGGTTATTTCATCTTGTCAAATGCTTTTTCCATAATCTCAATTGAGAAGATCGTGTGGGTTTTTTCTTCATAATGCTAATGCAGTGTATTACATTGATTAATTTTATTGACTCATTCTTACATTCCAGGAATAAATTTCACTTGGTCATAATGTTTAATTCTTTTAATGTTCTGTTGAATTCAGTTCACTGGTATATTGCTGAGAATTCTTGTATAAATATTCATCAGAGATATTTAGCTGTAAATTATTTTTTCCTTGTAGTGTCTGTGTGGCTTTTATATCAGTGTAATGTTGAACTTGTAAAATTAATTTGGAAGTGTTTCTTCCTCTTCAATTTTTGAAAGGAGTTTCAGGAATATTGGCACTAATTCCTCTTTAAATATTTGGTAGAATTATCCAGTGAAGCCATCTGGTTAGGAATTTTTATTTGTTGGGGGGTTTTTAATTATTAATTTAATCTCCTTACTTGTTATTTGTCTATTTGGATTTTCTCTTTCTTCATGATTCAGTTATGCTAAGCTGTGTATTTCTAGAACTTTATCCATTTCTTACAGGTTATCAGATTTGTTGGTGTACAATTATCCATAGTATTCTCTTAAAATCTATTTGTATTTCTGTGGCATCAGTTATAATGTTGCCTCTTTCCTTTCTGATTTTAGTTATTTGAGTCTTCTTTCTCTTTTTCTTTGTTAACCTAGCTAACAGTTTGTTGATTCTGTTAATCTTTTTTTTTTTTTCAAAAAAAACGTTGATTTCTTCAAGTTTTCTATTCTCCATTTTATTTCTCTCTCTTCTAATTATTATTTTCCTTCCACTAGCTTTCAGTTCAATTCATTTTTTTCTAACTTCTTGAGATATAAAGCTAAGTTGTTGATTTGATATCTGCCTCTTTCTATAAACTTCAACTTTTGCTGTGTCTCATGCAGCATACAGATTTTGTATTTGTGTTTTTGCTTTCAAAACAGAAAAAAAATCTTGTTTTTTCTCAAGATCTTTTCTAATTTCCCTTATGACTTATTTGACTCCTTGGTTGTTTGAGTGGTTTGTTTAATTCCGCGTATTTGTGGATTTTTTTTCTACTGCTTTTGATTTCTAACTTCATTGCATTGTGATCAGAAGATGTACTTTTATAATTTTCATCTTTTTGAATTTGTTAAGACTTATTTTACAGCCTAACGTGTGGTCTATTGTGGAGAATGTTCCATGTACACTTGAGAAGAATGTACACTCTGCTGTTGGTGGATGAAGTGTTCTGTGTATGTCTGTTAGTTCCAATTGGTCTATAGTGTTATTAAGTCCTTTGTTTCCTATTGATCTTCTGTTTGCTCTTTCCATTGTTTAAACAGTGAGGTATTGACATTTTCTACTCCTATTTTGGTATTGTCTATTTATCCCTTCAATTCTATCAGTTTGTTTTATATATTTAGAAGCTCTGGGGTTTGGTGCATAAATATTTATAATCGCTATATCTTCTTGGTGAATAACCCTTTTATCTTTAAAAGTGCAAAGAAGAAGGTGAAGAAAAGGGCAAAGAAGAAGGTTCTTCTTTGTGTTTTGTAACACTTTTTTATTGAAGTCTATTTTGTCTGATAATAGTACAGCAACCCCTCCTCCCTTTTGGTTACCATTTGCATAGGAGCCCTTACTTTTAGCCCCCCATGTTATACTGCCTTACTTCTAGCCCTTCATACTTTTTTCTTGTGGAGGGAGAGAGGGAGCTTTGAGTTCCTTCTAGAGGCTAGGTATATGCTAAGATATTTTATTATTTCTCCTTAAATCCAGTGGGCAAATAACTAAGGCCTGTGGTAATCCAGGGGTATAGATGCCCCTCTTAGGGAAGAAGATATATAGAATATCAGAGAGTCTTGCCTACACATTCATAAGATGACTTCTCTAAAACTTCCCACTGCTCCTATGTAATCACGTCGAACTAACAAAATGGCACTTCAGTCACTCAAAACCTTTTCAAAGGGTCTCTGATATTACCTATCACTGAAATGAAGCAAAGTTTGAAGGACTCCTGATTCTTTCAGCCTCCTTCTTCTCATCTTTTGCCAAGAGTGCCCTATGGCCTTAAAATTCAGATTTAGCAGTGGTCAAGGCTAGTGAAGGTCTTTGAAGTCTTTCTTATGAGACCAGAAAAAGGAAAATATAAAATTAGGCTTCCATCTAGATCTGTAAACAACTTATTTGAAAGTCAAGTCCTGTGAACTAACATAACATTTTGTCTTCAGAGAAAGGCTTGTTACCCATATCTGAGTGCCTGGATTTCAAGGCTGTTCTTGGGACTTCCACCAAATGGGGCCCTTCAAAGTAATCTTTCAGAGAACTGCATGTAGGCAAGATCATTCATAAGCTAGGGCAATGGCAGTAGAACTAGTTGCTGCAGCTAAGACTCTACCAGTTACCTACATTCTCACTTTCATCTCCCCACACCTCAGCCAGTTTTAGTTCTCACTGACTTACATCCTTTACAGAATAGCCTCTTGCAATAATGCAGATATTTAGGTTGGCTATAGCTGGCTTTGTGCCTGTAGGTCTCTGATAGAAATAATCTAATAATAGGGTTTTACGTGAAAGTAGAGAACTGAATGACATGAAATAATCATGAGGCATCCTGCTGATTAATGGGCCAATTGTCCTGAAGTTCATCTGGTCTGAACTTGGCTAGAAAATATCAAACATGGATTGTTACCCAATGCAACACAACAGCTGCTACTTATAGGTTCCATGTTATCCTAAAATGAGAAATGACAATCGAATTTTTTATTCACAGACGAACCTTTACCTGGGACTCTCATCAGCTTTTCTTCATGATTCCTAAAAGATCAGCTGATCCTTAATGCATATAACCTGATCTTCCCCTCTGTGTGAGATTACCAAATGTCCAGTCTCTAAGCGCTCTCATTCCTACTCCAAGAAATGTCTATAAAAATTGGCCTTTCAATATACAACTCAGAGTATGTAAACTATAAGATTTTTTTAATCACTTGTACATAAGCCCCTGGTTTCCCCTTGGCTTTTCTTTCTGTCATTTATTTTGTTTTCTTCCTTTAAGGCAGGAGTGCAGGAGTCCCAGTGTTTTCCTTGGGAGGAAAGAAAGCCCTCAATAAAAATATTGTATCACAAAAAATAAACTATTGGTAAGCTTTCGACAAGAGACAAACAAACAAAAACATCATCAGAAAATAAAAATGTCTTTGGTAAATTTCAACGTGGTAGCCCCCATTTTAGTGAGTATTTAGTGGTGTACAGGTTTTATTGTTGTTATTGTTGTTTTTCAATTACTTGTTTTCTTTTGGGGGATGAAAAGAAACTTATTATCTTTTAATAAAAGATAAATACTTTGGCTTTACAAAAGCAAGTATTCAGAACAGATCAGAAAAGTTAAGAAACTGCCTCACCTATGGCTGCCTATTCTGGGCCCACTACTGACCTTGACAGTAAGCCTAACTAATGGAATCTCTAATAGGGATCTGATCTTTCAGAAACCCTTCTGTGTCTTTACTTTTGCTAGCTTCTTGGTCGACCTCTTTCATGATCTCCCTTCCCCCTTAAACTGGAGTCAGTACTCTTGAGAGACTAGCCAGACCTCACTGTGAGAGAAACTGAAGTCATAAAGCTTTCTGTTACATATTCTGACATCACCCAAAGGAGTTATGGCCTTCACATGTATACCCTGAAATCGATCCTTATTTTTGTTTTAAAAATGTTGGCTTTCTTTTGTTTAAGAGTATCTCCTTGACCCAGCAATCCCATTATAGATATATACATAGAGTAATATAAATTATTCTACTATAAACACACATGCATTTTAATGTTCATGCAGCACTGTTCACAATAGCAAAGTCATGAAATCAACCTAAATGCCCATCAATGACAGATTGGATAAAGAATATGTGGTATGTATACACCATGGATTACTATGCAACCATAAAAAGGACAAGATCATGTCTTTCATGGCAACATGGATGGAGCTGGAGGCTATTATTCCTAGCAAACAAATACAGGAACATAAAACAAAATACCACGTGTTCTTACTTATAAGTGGGAGCTAAATTATGAGACTTATGAACACAAAGAAGGAAACTCGAGACAGAGACACTGGTGTCTACTTGGGTGAAGAGAGTCGGAGGAGGGAGAGGAACAGAAAAGGAAACTACTGGGTCTGGGCTTGAAACCTGTACAACAAACCTCCATGACATAAATTTACCTATGTAACAAACCTTCACATGTACCCAAAGAGCACCTCCTTGGATTGGGCAAGGTGAACCTCTGTAGGTCCTAAAAACTTAAAAAGATTCTCTTGCAAGTATGTACTTGTTCCTTAATCTTCAAGCAACAGTGCACTCTACTGTCTGCGTCAGATCAAGAGGCCCTCCTCGGGGCAGACTTGGCACTCTTGGGCTTTGTGATTTAAAGTACAACTGGGATGGCTCAATGTGATAGACTCTCGTTTTATTCATTCTTAACCTTTTTGGCAGATGGAAAGATTTCTTATCTTTTAAACAGAGAATAACACCATGTAGTTAGCTAGAACAAGTATGCAGCATGTATTATGAAGTCTGGAAATTTTCTTACGGAAGCCTGCATATTCTGCAGCCTTAAATGTTTCAGTCTGAGCATTCTGCTGACCTATGAATTCTCATTTCAGGCCTAGCCAATGGACCCTCTAAACAGGGAGCATGCCTTCCCAAGAGGCTCTTCACATTTTGGCTAGAAGCCAGATATTTGGACTCTTTCTTGCACCACCAGAAGAATACATATTCCAGACCTCACTTCATTACCCCCTTAAACCATAAAGTCTTATTCTAAGTGTCCTGGCACCAGGCAAAGGAATGATGACCTTTGGGTGCTTTCCCACAGATGCAGTACCCATTACTATAATTTTCAAGTTTTGTACTTTTTTTAAACTTCTATTTAGACAGCAGGATCTCAGTCACGTGGTTGGCCAAGGTGAAACATTGCTGTCCTAAAAGTTTCTCTCTTGCCAATATCTAACTGTTTCTGGACAGTTCTCACCTCTGGGCAGACATGTGGTTTAACATGCAAGTCCTAGAGAGTATACAAGAAGACATGGCCGAAGCTTGTCGGTTGAGATGCTGGGAGAAGTATGCCTGAGGCCTGGACTGCAGTGAGAGTGCTTTGAAGACCAAGGTCAGTTTGAGTACATAAAAATTCAGTGACATTTTATACTGGCTTTCCTCATGTCTCCACTAGCCCACAAGATCAAAAGAAGGACTTAATCTCTGTCAGAGGGGAGAGGAACAGATCCCTTACTTTGAGCATAGGCTGAGAGGAATGCAAGAGAAAGGCTTGGAGATTTCTAGGGCAACACTTGCTGGTAAAAAAAAAAAAAAAAAAAAAAAGTGCATCTCCTTGGTGGGTAAGTGACAAGATTATAAGATGATGGCAGAATGCAACAGAAGGTTGGAAAAGGCAATAGAGGTCACGACTTTTTCATGTTGAGAAAAAAGAGAATGAATGTGATATGGTGATAAATTAAAATATATCTGGTCTGTGCCCCAGTTCCTTGCACACAGCTCCTAAAACCCTTGGAATCTCTGGAGTAACAAAAGTGTGTGCTAATGAGATGACTGGTAGCAGGGTCACCCAGATAGCTTCAGAATCGGGGCTGGTGATAGGAAAGACCAGCATAGAAAATTGAGACTTTCAGCCTCATCCCTTCAACCTCTGGGGAGGAGAGAGAGGCTGAAGGTGGAATTGATCACCAATGGCCAATAATTTAACAAATCATGCCTACATGATGAAGTCTCCATAAAGACCTAAACGGACAAAGTTTGGAAATCTTTCTAGTTCCTGAACTCAAAGAAGTTCCTGCAGAGTGGCATGCACAGAGAGGGCATAGAAGCTCCACACCCTTGCCCCATACCTTGCCCTACGTATCTCTTCCACTTGGCTGATCATCTGTATCCTTTATAATAAAGAGGTAAATGTGAATAAAGCATTTTTCTGAGTTCTGTGAGCCACTTTAGCAAATTATCAAACTTGAGGAGACTGTCACAGGAACTTTGGTTTGTACCCAGTAAGTCAATAGTATAGGTGTCAACATATTACTTTTAATTGTCATCTCAATAGGGGACAATCTTGTGAAACTGAACGCTTGACCTGTAGGATCTGATTCTACTTCTAGGTAGATAGGGACAGAATTGAGATAAATTATGAGACACCTATTCAGTGTTCACTAGAGAATTGCTTGGTATGTGGGGTAACACCCACCTGAACCCAGCTGCACATCTAGTCGCAGGAATGTTTGGTGCTGTGTTGAGTGTGTGAGAATAGGAAAAACACTGCATTTTTCCTATCTGCAATAGGGAGACAGCCAAAAGGGACACCCCACAGACACACTAGGGAAAGCCTGCTAATTGCACTTTTTGCCTCTCACTGGCAGACATGGGCAGCAGAAACATACAAATATTTTTTTCTTTTCTTTTCTTGTTATTATACTTTAAGTTCTGGGGTACATGTGCAGATTGCACAGTTTTGTTACATAGATATACACGTGTCGTGGTGGTTTGCTGCATCCATCACCCCATTATCTACATTAGGTATTTCTCCTAATGCTATCCCTCCCCAATTCCCCCACCCCCTGCTATTCCTCCCCTAACCCCCTCACCCCCCAGGCCCCAGTGTTTGATGTTCCCCTCCCTGTGCCCATGTGTTCTCATTGTTTAACACCCACTTATGAGTGAGAACATATGGTGTTTGGTTTTCTGTTCTTGTGTCAGTTTGCTGAGAATGATGGTTTCCAGTTTCATCCTTGTCCCTGCAAAGGACATGAACTCATCCTTTTTCATGGCTGCATAGTATTCCATGGTGTTTATCTGCCACATTTTCTTTATCCAGTCTATCATTGATGGGCACAGAATCTATGGAGAACCTAAACAAATTTGCAAGAGAAAACAATCCCATCAAAAAGTGGGCAAAGGATATGAATGGACACTTTTCAAAAGAAGACATTTATGCAGCCAATAAACACATGAAAAAAAGCTCATCATCACTGGTCATTAGAGAACTATTCTTAAATTTATTCACATAAATCAGACCTAACTTATCTGGTGGAATCCGTGGGGGACTGTGAGGAGGAACGATATCCAAAAAGGAAAATCCTTAGAGGAATGAAACTCAGGAGGAAATGAGAAGGGCATAATTGTTACACAACATGCCAGGAGGCCCACATGCTCCCCATTTGCTTGGTGTGGGGAACATAGTGATGCTGACTGACATCCTACTCGAAGTCCTCCTAATCCACTTGAGGCACAAATACAGTGCACTCGAACCACACCTTACCCAAGAGTGGTGGACTTTATGTGTTATCCTTTTAAATGATACCTGCCATTTTCTAGACCCTTTTGGGGATTTTTTTTTTAACTATACATGTTGAGGTGTTTTCTTCTTTTTGTGTCTTGCATTTCTTTTATATTTGTCTCTGTTTGCTTTTCTCTCCCTTTGCAGTTTATTTTAATTTTTTGGCTTATAAAGAACTTTTTTTATATAGGCTATCGAGGTACAGGTAGTCTTTGGTTACATGAGTAAGTTCTTTAGTGGTGATTTGTAAGATTTTGGTGCACCCAAAGCAGTATACACTGCACCATATTTGTAGTCTTTTATCCCTTGCTCCCCCACCCTTTCCTTCAAGCCTTCAAAGTCCATTGTATCATTCTTGTGCCTTTTCATTCTCATAGCTTAGCTCCCACATATCAGTGAGAACATACAATGTTTGGTTTTCCATTCCTGAGTTACTTCACTTAGGATAATAGACTCCAATTTCATCCAGGTCGATGTGAATACCATTAATTCATTCCTTTTTATGGCCGGGTAGTATTCCATCGTGCTATATATACCACAATTTCATCATGCACTTGTTTATTAATTGGCACTTGGGTTGGTTCCGCAATCTTGCAATTGTGAATTGTGCTGCTACAAACATGCATGTGCAAGTATCTTTTGAGAATAATGACTTCTCTTCGTCTGTGTGGATACCCAGTAGTGGGATTGCCGGATCAAATGGTAGTTCTACTTATAGTTCTTTAAGGAATCTCCACACTGTTTTCCATAGTGGCTGTACTAGTGTACATTCCCACCTGCAGTGTAGAAGTGTTCCCTGTTCACCACATCCATGCCAACATTTACTGTTTTTTTCATTTTTTGCTTATGGCCATTCTTACAGGAGTGAAGTGGTATTGCATTGAGGTTTTGAGTTGCATTTCCCTGATCACTAGTGATGTTGAGCATTTTATTTTTTCATATGTTTGTTGACCATTTGTATATCTTCTTTTGAGAATTGTCTATTTATGTCACTAACCCATTTTTGATGGGATTGTTTTTTTTTTTTCTTGCTGATTTGTTTGAGTTTGTTGTGTATTCTGGTTGTTAGTGTTTTGTCAGATGTATAGATTGTCTGATAAATACTCTGGTTGCTAAAAGCAAATGTGGTAATTCTCAAGTATTATCCATCAGAGATATTTCTTATTGGTCTTCACCTTTGGAAATCTGTGTTTGTTTTCTCCTTCTATTTAGATAACAGCCCCCTCAGTCTTGTGGCAAGCTAAAGTAAAAACCTGGTGGGTCATCGCATCAGCTTGGAGACTCCCTGTCCAATGTCCAAAAGTTCTGTAATACGTTAACAATGACCTGCTGACACAACAGTGAGGTAAGATGGAGCCTCTACCTAACAGCCTTCTTTTGTACATCATTCTTCCATCCTTTGCTTTCTACTTGGATCTTACTTTCAGCCTTGCCCAAAATGAAATATACAAATACACACACACACACATAAAATGTGTCTTCAAGAAATTTGTAAAATTCTTCATATGCAAGCAAGTATTCAAGTCTGAAAGAACTGCATTTGAGAACCCTTTGGGGCATTTTTTTTTCTGGGTGAGGGAATTAGGGCAGTCCTGCTTTTTTTCATTTTAAGTTCATTTGTTTCTTTTTGCCTCTTTAGAAATGTCTTCACTTGTAAATCCACTTTCTGTAATCTTAAAAAAGCAGCACATGCTCTCCTATTTGGTCTGGTAAAGTTGACCCTCCTCTGTCTCAGGCTCTTCTGAATCTTTCTCTTCTCAATATTTTTTACTTCAAGCCTTTCTCCAAAACATTTAAAAAGTAAAAACTTCTCTTCAGGAAGCAAAAATTCATTAAGATGCTGGTACACTGTATGCATCAAACCCATAACAAACAGTCTTTTGCAATGCTGAAAACATGGTTCTTTGTGATGGCTGTGATAGGGGTCATCATACCTGCTGTGTTTGACCAAAGCTCAAGACTGTGCCTGAAGGAGATTGGTGGTGTCCAGAATGTCGACCAAAGCGACATTCCAGAAGACTCTCTTCTAGACAGAGACCATCCTTGGAAAGTGATGAAGATGTGGAAGACAGTATGGGAGGTGAGGATGATAAAGTTGATGGTGATGAAGAAGAGGGTCAAAGTGAGGAGGAAGAGTATGAGACAGAACAAGGTGAAGATTACTATCAAAAAGATGAAGAAGTCAGCATACCCAAACGAGGAAGACCACAAGTTAGACTGCCAGTTAAAACAAGACGGAGACTTAGCTCTTGTTTCTCTAGTCGTGGCCAGCGACAAGAACCTGGAAGATACCCTTCAAGGAGTCAGCAGAGTACACCCAAAACAACTGTTTCTTCTAAAACTAGTAGAAGCCTAAGAAAGATAAACTCTGCTCCTCCTACAGAAACGAAATCTGTAAGAATTGCCAGTCGTTCTACTCGTCACAGCCATGACCCGCTGCAAGCAGATATATTTGTGGAATTACTTAGTCCTTGTAGAAGATGCAGAGGCAGGAAAAGTGCTAATAATACACCAGAAAATAGCCCCAACTTCCATAACTTCAGAGTCATTTCCACAAAGTCAAGTGAACAGTCAAGATCTTTAAATGTTGCTTCAAAACTTTCTCTCCAAGAGAGTGAATCCAAAAAAAGATGCAGAAAAAGACAATCTCCAGAGTCATCACCTACGACACTGAGTCAAAGGAGTTCTGGCTGACAGCGAGGAGTTCATGAGTTGTCTGCTTTTGAACAACTTGTCGTAGAATTGGTACAACATGATGACAGGTGGCCTTTTTTGAAACTTGTTTCTAAAATCCAGGTCCCAGACTACTATGACACCATCAAAAAGCTCATTGCCTTAAATATAATTGGTGAAAAAGTGAATAAACATTAATATAAATTAGCATCTGAGTTTATTGATATTGAGTTAATGTTTTCAAACTGCTTTGAATACAACCCTCGTAACATAAGTGAAGCAAAAGCTGGAACTAGGCTTCAAATGTTTTTTCATATTCAGGCTCAAAAGCTTGGACTCCACGTCACACCCAGTAATGTGGACCAAGTTAGCACACCACCAGCTACGAAAAAGTCACAAACCTGACTTTGTCCTTCTAAAGGATGTATTTGAGGAAAGACAAATTGTTCATGAAAATGGAACATTAAATCATTGTCTAAAGCAGATATATATGTATAAAGCAATAACAACTGATTGGCCACATGAAAGTGTGGCCTGCACTGTATTCTCAATTTTAATATTAAGCTCTCAGGAGAATGTAGGAAAGATGTCCTTTACTGCAGTTTTGCTCAGTAGCTAATAAGTTTGATAGATATATTGGATACAGTACTGGTTTACAGAGGTTTTTGTTCATTTTTGAGATCATTCGTGTGTCCAGAGATCTTGTAAAATATTTTTTCACCTATGATTTGTTATTGATTATTTTTTTTAAGTTGTGGTATTAAGGGAGAGTTATCTACATGGGTGATTCTTCTGCTACAGCACAGTTTAGAAAAATGTGTTTATGCCTTCATTGTTTAATGAGTAGATTCTTTCAACATTACACATGAATGAATCCAATCTTATATCCTTGAAGTGCTGTACCAGTGCTGGCTGGAGGTATTACGTCTGAGTTTATTAACTAGATATTTATTTAGTATTGAAAGTAGCTTGTGAATTTGTTTTGTATTTATAAAATTTACACCTGAAAAATGCTCCTTAATGTTTTAAACTTTTTACTATGTTTTTATTTCTCTAACTTCCTTAATGAGCAATCAAAAAAAAGTAACACCCTCCCTTTTTCCTGACAGTTCCTTCAATTTTACAGAACTGTATTATAAGTTTCTATGTACAAGTTTTTAACTGTACAAATAAAATAATATTTTTTCAAGTAAAAAAAAAAACCAGTCACATGTATCCCTGAACCTAAAATTAAATTAAATTAAGTTTAAAAATATAGAAAACATGATGCAAATATAAATGGCTGATAAGTTTGAATGTCATAACTGACAATCATCTCCTCCTCCCCACCCTTTTTTTAAATTATTTATTTTTTGTTGGTACACAGTAGGTGTATGAGCAATGCATAATAATCACACCATGGAAAATGGAGTAGCCACCACCTCAAACATTTATTTTTTGTGTATAATAAAATCCAATTATATTCCTTCTATTGCTTATTAGTTAATCTAACATGTATAATTAAATTATTATTGACTAGAGTCACCCTGTTGTGTTATCAAACACTAGGTCATATTTATTTGTTCTGTTTTTGTTTCCATTAACCATCCCTATTTTCCCCCAGCACCCCACTACCCTTCCCAGCCTCTGGCAACCATCCTTCTATTCTCTATGTCCATAGGTTCAATTATTTTTATTTTTAGCTCCTACAAATAAGTGAAAACATGGAAAACTTGTCTTTGTGTGTCTCCCTTATTTCACTTACTGTAATGACCTCCAGTTCCATCCATGTCGTTGCAAATGACAGGCTCTCATTCTTTTTATGGCTACATAGTACTCCATTATGTATCCATTCCATATTTTCTTTATCCATTCATCTGTTGATGGACACATAGCTGCTTTCAAATGTTGGCTATTGTGAACAGTGCTGCAACAAACATGGGAGTGCATATATCACTTCTATATACTGATATCCTTCCTTTGGGGTATATACCCAGCAGTGGGATTGCTAGAGCACATAGTAGCTCAATTTGTAGTTTATTGAGAAACCTTCAAAGTGCTCTCCATAGTGGTTGTACTAATTTAATCTCCCATCAACAGTATAGGAGTGTTCCTTTTTCTCCACATCCTTGCCAGCATTTGTTATTGCCTGCCTTTTGGCTAAAAGCCACTTTAACTGGAGTGAGATATCTCCTTGTTGCATTTCTGATGATCAGTGATGTTGAGCACATTTTCACATGCCTCTTTGCCATTTGTATGTCTTCTTTTGAGAAATGCCTGTTTAAATCTTTTGCCCATTTTTTAACTCAGATTATTAGATGTTCTATAAACTTTTTCTGCTTTTCTACTTTTGTGTTAATCCTTTGTCAGGTGGGTAGTTTGGAAAAATTCTCTCACTCTGTGGATTGTCTCTTCTCTTCATTGATTGTATCCTTCGTTGTGCAGAAGCTTTTAACTTGATGTGATTCCATTTGTCCATTTTTGATTTGATCATCTGTGCTTGTGGAGTATTACTCAAATTTTTGCCTTGACCAATGTTCTAGAGAGATTCTCCAATGTTTTCTCTTAATAGCTTCATTTTGAAACTTAGATTTAAGTCTTTATTCAATTTTGATTTGATTTTTATGTATGGTAAGAGATATGAGTCAAGTTCCATTCTTCTGCATATGAATATCTAGTTTTCCCAGCACCACTTATTGAAAGTCTTTTCTCAATGTATGTTCTTCACACCTTTGTCAAAAATGAGTTAACCATAGATAAAGGGATTTGTGTCTGGATTTTCTATTCTGTTACATTGGTCTGTGTGTCTGTTTTTATGTCAGTACCATGCTGTTTTGGTTACTATAGCTCTGCAGCATAATTTGAAGTCAGATAAAGTAATTCCTCCAGTTTTGTTTATCTTTGGATATTCTGGGTATTTTGTGGCTCCATATAAATTTTGCAATTGTTTTTCTCTTGCTGTGAAGAGTGTCATTGGTATTTTCATAGAGATTGCATAAAATCTGTAAATTGCTTTGGGTAGTATGAACATTTTAACAATATTGGTTCTTCCAATACATAGATAGGGATTATATTTCCATTTGCTGGTGTTCTCCTCAATTTCTTTCATCAGCGTTTTATAATTTTGTTGTAGAAGATCTTTCACTTCTTTGGTTGATTATTAAGTAGTGTGTTTCATTTGTACCTATTGTAAATGGGATTATCCTCTTGATTTCTTTTTCCAATTGTTCACTGTTGTCATATAGAAATGCTACTGATTTTTGTATGTTGATTTTATATCCTTCAACTTTACTGAATTTGTTTATCAATTCTAATAGCTTTTTTGGTAGAGTCTTTAGGTTTTACCAAATATAAGGTTATATTATCTGCAAACAAGAATAATTTGACTTGTTCCTTTGCTATTTGGATGCCCTTTATTTGCTGTTCTTGTCTGATTGCTCTAGCTAGGCCTTCCAATACTATGTTGAATAACAGTCGTGAAAGTGGATAACCTTGTTATGTTCTAAATCTTAGAGGGAAATTTTTTCAGTATTTCCCCATTCTGCATGATATTATCTGTGAGTCTGCCATATATGGCTTTTATTATGTTTAGGTATGTTCCATATGCCCAGTTTTTGAGAGTTTTTATTATAAAGAAATGTTGAATTTTACCAAATAATTTTTCATTATCAGTTGAAATGTTCACATAGTTATTGTATTTTATTCTGTTGATACGATATATTACATTGATTGGTTTTCATATGTTGAATGATGCTTGCATCCCCAAGACAAATGTCATTTAGTCATGATCAATGATCTTTTCAATGTACTGTTGAATTCAGTTTGCTAGTATTTTGTTCATTTTTGCATCAAAATTCATCAGGGATATTGGCCTGTTGTTTTATTTATTTGATGTGCCTTTATCTGTTTTTGCTATCAGGGTAATACTGGCCTCATAGGATGAGTTTAGCGGTAGTCTCTCCTCTATTTTTTAAAGTAGTTTGAGTAGGATTGTTATAAGTTCTTCTTTAAATGTTTGATAGAATTTAGCAGTGAACCCATCAGATCCCAGGGTTTTCTTAAGTGAAAGACTTTTTATTATGGCCTTGATCTCATTATGTGCTATTGGTCTGTTCAGGTTTCAGATTTCTTCATGGTTCAATCTATATAGATTGTATATGTCTAAGATTTTATCCATTTTCTCTAGATTTTCCAATTTGTTGGCATGCAGTTGCTCATAGTAGCCACTAAAGTTCCTTTGAATTTCTGCAGAATCAAAGAATCAATTGTAATGTCTCCTTTTTCATCTATGATTTTATTTATTTGGGGTTTCTTCCTTGTTTTTTTTTTTTCATTAGTCTGGCTAAAGTTTTATCAATTTTATTTATCTTTTTAAAAAAATGAACTTTTCATTTTATTGATCTTTGTTATTATTTTCTTCATTTCAAATTCATTTATTTCTGCTCCCATTTTATTATTTATTTTCTTCCACTAATTTTGGTTTTGGTTTGCCCTTTCTTTTCTGGTTCTTTAAGACTGATTCATTAGGTTATTTATTTGAAGGATTTGGTTTTGATATAGGCACTAATAGCTATAAATTTCACTCTTAATATTACTTTTGCTGTAGCCCAAAAGTTTTGGTATATTTTATTACCATTATCATTTGTTTCAAGAATTTTTTATTTTTTTACTCAATTTCTTAAATTGACCCACTGGTCAGTCAGGAGCATATTGTTTAATTTTCATATTGTTTAATGTTTGTATCATTGATTTCTAGTTTTATTTCATTGTTGTCAGAGAAGACGCTTCATATTATTTCAATTTTTGAATGTTTTAAGACTTGTTTTGTGACCTAACATATGGACTGTCCTTGAGAATGATCCATGTGCTGAGAAGAATGTGTGTTCTGCAACCATTGAGTGAAATGCTCTGTAAATATCTATTAGACGCCAGGCACAGTGGCTCATGCCTATAATCCTAGCCCTTTGGGAGTGCTGAGGCAGGTGGATCACTTGAGGCCAGGAGTTCAAGACCAGCCAGGCCAACATTGCAAAACCCTGTCTCTACTAAAAAAAAAAAAAAAAAGAAAAAAGAAAAATTAACCAAGCATGGTGGCATGTACCCGTAATCCCAACTACTCAGGTGGCTGAGGCACGAGATTCATTTGAACCTGGGAGATGGAGGTTGCACTGAGATGAGGCTGTACCACTGAACTTCTTCCTGAGTGACAGAGTGAGAATCTATCTCAAAAAAAAATCTATTAGATACATTTGATCTATAGTTTAAGTTAAGACCAATGTTCCTTTTTTTAAATTTTCTCTCTAGATCTGTCCAATGCTGAAAGTGGGGTGTTGAAATCTCCAACTATCATTATATTGGAGTCAACCTCCCTCTTTAGCTCTAATAATATTTGCTTTGTGCATCTGGGTGCTTTAAGATTGGGTACATATATATTTATAATTATTATATCTTCTTGCTGTAATGACCCTTTATCATTATATAATGACCTTCTTTGTTCTTCTCATAGTTTATGTTTCTTGAAATCCATTTTGTCTCATATAAGAATAGCTACTCCTGCTTCTTTTTATTTTTCATTGCCATGGAATATCTGTTCCCATTCCTTTGTTTTCAGTCTATGTATATCTTCATAGGTGAAATGCATTTCTTCTTAGCAACATATCATTGAGTGTTGCTCTTTTTTATCCATTCAGCCATGCTATGTCTTTGGATTAGAGAGTTTAGTCCATTTACACTCAGTGTCATTATTGATCAGTAAGAACTTATTCTTCCCATTTTGTTATTTGTTTTCTAGTGTTCTCCTCCATCTTTCCTTCCTTTCTATCTTCCTTTTAGTAAAGGCAATTTTTCCTGGTGGTTTGATTTAGTTTCATGCTTTTTATTTTTTGTGTATGCGTTATTTATTTTTTGATTTGAGATTCCCATGAAGCTTGTAAATCCTATCTTATTTTAAACAGATAACAAGTTAAGCCTGATTGCATGAACAAGCAGGCAAAAAGAAAACTAATAAAAACTTTACATTTAACTTCATCTCCCTGCTTTTTACCATTTTATTGTTTCTCTTTATGTCTTATTGTGCTATGTCTTTAAAAGTTGCTGTCTTTATTGGTTAAGGATAACAGTGGTTAATAATTTAGTCTTTCTATTGAAGATAAGAGTAGTTTGCAGAAATTGCATTTATAATATTCAAATTTTTCTGTTTGCTATTACCTG